GCAGTCCAAGCACCGCCACTGAACGCAGAAACCTCCCCGCTTGACGTCGAAGAAGACGAAGACGAGTACGAACCAGACTTCTACGCCGCCGAAGACACAGAGCAGATCCTCAACAAGCTGGACAATGCACCTGCGGAGGTCCCTCCCGTTCAAGAGCCTGAGACGGTCAACGCTTTAGCAACTCTCGGCACATTCAAACTCCCACCACCACCCCTCCTCAACCCGGACCTGGCCAACCAAATAAGCCAAGTCGCCGTCAACCGCGTCTTCACACCCCTTGCGACACTTGAAGACACCTCCCGCAAACACAAATCGGGTATCAACCGCCTCGCCGCCTCCTCTTTCGACAGGGACTCCTGGCTCACCGTCATCATCCGGATCGCAACCCGCGGCACGGCCGGTCTAGAAGACAATAACTCCGCCACCATCAAAGACGAAGAATCGTCCTCCCTAGTCCACAAACCCAGCCTGTCCCTCTCCAACTCGATCCGCGAGAACCTCTTCCGCTACGTGATGGAGGACTTCCGCCGCCGGATAGACGTGGCCGTCGCCTGGCTCTGCGAGGAGTGGTACGCCGACCAGCTGGCGAAGAAGACGCAGCCCGAGTCTGACCGGTCCCTGCACTACGAGCGCTGGGCGGTTAAGCTTTTGGATGGGTTCTTGCCGTATCTGACGCCGCAGGACAAGGTTCTTACGCGGTTTCTAGCGGAGATCCCTGAGTTGAGTCGGGAACTGCTGGGACGGGTGAAGGATCTCTGTCGGGACCCGGCGACGGTTAGTCTGGCGGTTACCAGCCTGCTGTATCTCGTTATGATGAGGCCGCCGGCTAGGGAAATTGCGCTTGATACTGTGGGGGAGATTTGGGTTGAGTGTAAGTTTGAGCCCACGATCTTGAGGGAGAGAGTGGATGCTGACATTGTAATAGATGAGGATGCACGACCGATGGCGTCGAAATACCTGGCCAAGTGGAGGCCGGGCTTCATTGAGAGCCGGACGGCTGGGGCTGATATGAAACCTGGTGTGGCGCCTATTGCGGCTTGAGAACATGGAGATGAGCCTGCATGGTTGGGCTCGTGGATGAGGATCTTCCTGGCGTGTGTATTTCTACAATGGCGGTATATAGCATGCAGCTACAGCTCGTCTGTCCGCTTTGCCTCTGGCTTGGTCGATGATGGTTCCTGGTTATGATCTCGGGTGCCACGGCAGGGGGCCGCACTGTACTTTGATAGCATTTCTACTCGTTGGCTATAGCGATGAAGGGTAGTGAGGATATAAATCATAGCATAGCCTGAGCGGTTCACAGCAACGGCGGAAGATGTTTGCGGGGAATCAAGCGTGATTTTGAACAAAGAGCATACATAGGGGTTAGACAGGGCGTCTAGGTCGACATCGACTGTATTATAGCTGGCGCCTTGCTGGATCACTGAGATATCACTACTCGTGTCTTTATCTTTGTTCCTCTTCATGTACCTTACTTTCAAACCTGCCCTGGTTGCGGCCACTGACATACGCCACACGTTAACCACTCCGCACGGGCCAAATGAGGCGGTGCACGTCCCTCATATGGCTTAACTCTACGCCACAACGACCCCGGGCGTGCCTGCATCACTCCGTGCCAAGAAGGGCGCTAGCGCCGTCTGAAGGTCGGAAGCTCCAAACTGTCCTCTCCAAAAGTGTCGTGGCTTCGTTTCGATCGAAGAAAGTGGTGATGAGATAGATCGATCTTTCCCTTCCGTCACGAATCCTTTTCCACCCCTCCATTGCATTTCTGCAATTCCACACTCTCTAACCGACGCTGTTACCCAACATGTCGGCTACGAGCAGTTCGTCCCTCGATCTCCTCGCCAGCGGCGGTAGGGGAAAGAGCTCGCGCACGCTGCTGCGGGTGGTCATTCTCCTCGTTATCGCTGGCGCTGCCGTCGCGAGCCGTCTGTTTTCCGTGATTCGTAAGTTTGCCTTGGTGATGGGATAAAGTCAATTGATAGATCTGGTCTGGTCGGCGGTTCATCAATTGCCCATAGCTCAGTCTTATGGAATGCGAAAGCAGCTTGCTAACAGTCGTCTTGTCCAGGTTTCGAAAGCATCATCCACGAATGTCAGTCTCTCCTCACCAACCTCGCACCGACCGATCGCGCTGTATTCTCCGACAGTATATACACGAATAACATGCTAACACTCCTCCAGTCGATCCGTGGTTCAACTTCAGAGCAACAAAGTACCTGGTCTCACACGGCTTCTACAACTTCTGGGACTGGTTCGACGACCGAACATGGCACCCCTTGGGCCGCGTCACCGGAGGCACCCTCTACCCAGGCCTCATGGTCACTAGCGGCGTTATCTACCACGCCCTGCGCGCCCTCACAATCCCAGTCGACATCCGCAACATCTGCGTCCTCCTCGCCCCCGCCTGTTCCGGCCTGACTGCCTTCGCCGCATACCTCCTCACCAATGAGATGACTACCAATGAGTCCGCCGGCCTGCTGGCCGCCATCTTCATGGGCATTGCCCCCGGTTACATCTCCCGCTCCGTTGCCGGAAGCTACGACAACGAGGCCATCGCCATCTTCCTGCTGGTCTTCACCTTCTACCTCTGGATCAAGGCGCTGAAGCTCGGCTCGATGCTGTGGGGAGCCTTCTGCGCGCTGTCCTACGGCTACATGGTTGCCTCATGGGGTGGATATGCGTTCATCACGAACTTGCTGCCTCTGCATGCGTTTGTCCTCATTTGCATGCAACGTTATAGCACCAGGCTGTATGTCGCCTACACCTCGTGGTATGCCCTGGGAACCCTCATGAGTATGCAGATCCCCTTCGTCGGTTTCTTGCCCGTCAAGACCAGCGAGCACATGCCTGCTCTCGGTAAGTAAACTCCCTCGTACATGCTACTGGCTGAATATACACAGTTGCTAATCCTCGAGAAGGTATCTTCGGCTTCCTCCAGGTCCTGGCCTTCTTCTACTATGTGCGAGCCGCTCTCCCCAGCGACCGCCATTTCACGCGTCTCCTGTGGTTCACTGCCGTCGGGATCTTCACCGTTGCACTCGCTGGCCTCGTTATCCTGACGACCGCCGGCCTCATCGCCCCTTGGGGTGGACGGTTCTACTCTCTCTGGGATACCGCCTACGCCAAGATCCACATTCCGATCATTGCCTCCGTGTCCGAGCATCAGCCTACCGCCTGGCCTGCCTTCTTCTTCGATCTGAACATGCTCATCTGGCTGTTCCCCGCTGGCGTGTACCTCTGCTTCCAGGAGCTGGCAGACGAGCACGTCTTTATCGTGGTATACGCCGTCCTCGGCAGCTACTTTGCCGGTGTCATGGTCCGCTTGATGCTGACCCTGACCCCCGTCGTCTGCGTGGCCGCAGCTCTGGCTGTTTCGCAGCTGCTCAATAACTACCTCAACCTCAAGTCTCCTAAGCCGGAAGACCATGTACTCGTCGAGGGCGCCGACGTCACCGCCACCAAGAAGGCACCCAAGGGCGGGCTCAAGTCCACCAGCAAGCCTGTGGTCGGCATCTACAGCTTCCTCTCCAAGAGCCTCGTCGTCACGGCCATGACCGTGTACCTCCTCCTCTTCGTCCTGCACTGCACCTGGGTCACGTCCAACGCCTACTCCTCGCCCTCCGTTGTCTTGGCGTCCCGCATGCCCGACGGCAGCCAGCACATCATCGACGACTACCGCGAGGCCTACCAGTGGCTGCGCCAGAACACCAAGGACGACGCCAAGATCATGTCGTGGTGGGACTACGGCTACCAGATCGGCGGCATGGCCGACCGCCCCACCCTCGTGGACAACAACACGTGGAACAACACACACATCGCCACCGTGGGCAAGGCCATGAGCTCCCGCGAGGAGGTCAGCTACCCCATCATGCGCCAGCACGAGGTCGACTACGTGCTCATCGTGTTCGGCGGCCTGCTCGGCTACTCGGGCGACGACATCAACAAGTTCCTGTGGATGGTGCGTATCGCCGAGGGTATCTGGCCCGACGAGATCCGCGAGCGCGACTACTTCACCCCCCGCGGCGAGTACCGCGTCGATGACCAGGCGTCGCAGACAATGAAGGACAGCTTGATGTACGTCCCTTCCCATTCCCCTGTCCTCCCTCCAATCCCTTACTGATCTCTCGGCTATAGGTACAAGATGTCCTACTACAACTACAACGCCCTCTTCCCCCCGGGCCAGGCGCAGGACCGCGTCCGCGGCGTCAAGCTGCCCGAGGTGGGGCCCACGCTCAACACGCTCGATGAGGCGTTCACGAGCGAGAACTGGATCATCCGGATCTACAAGGTCAAGGACCTCGACAACTTCGACCGCGACCACGCTGCTGCCGCGGCGTTTGACCGGGGCCACAAGAAGAAGAAGAGTGGTGGCGGCAAGAAGAGGGGCCCGAGGGTTCTCAGGGTTGAGTAAGAGGCAGGTTGAGACAGGGGATTGGGGAGGAATACCTGGTGGTGGTGGTTGATGAATGTGTACAAATAAACATAGCTGAACAAGCTTTCTATGAGCGCTTTTCTTTGAGTTTGATACAGGGAATGGAAAAAGGATACTTGAACTTACAATAGCGGTCGGACATGGCCTGGTATGACTTGCACAAATCGACCGTCTACTTGCTTGGCCGTGCCAATTGCTGCGGCACTAACTAGGTAGTATGTGATTGTGATTATGATTGTCATCAAGTACAGTGATTATTCTGCCACCATGACGCTAACACTTCCTGCTTCACTTATCCTATGCCGACGTTACAACCAGCACAACATGAAGATCGTAACCCTGGCCGCAATGCAATCGCTTGATGTTTGCACCCTTTGCTCGCCAGAGACGTACCTCGAGAGCCAAACCCCACCTTCGCGTAGCGTTCCATCGCACCTCCGCTGAGGGGGCCGCAAGCACCATTGCACCAAGACAACGGAGGGTGCTGCAAAAGCTGCCCTCGTCGCTCTAGGCTGAACTCTTTCACCAAATTACCAAAAAAGTAGAAGATGGAAAAAAAACGAACCTCTCCCGGCGGGAATTGAACCCGGGTCTCGAGCGAATATCTTAAATGCTCCAGCCGGCAAGACGGGATATATTGACAAGCTCATATACTCACCACTATACTACGGAAGGTTTGTTGTTTTACAGGTGTGGGTGGAACACCCGTCGTAGACGTGAGTCGTGTCTCTTGATGGGAAGGCGCTGTCGTACATTGGCATATATACCTATATATGTATCTCTGATCAGGTGGGCATGAAAGTGAACGAGTCGTTGTGTTGTTGTTGTTGGGCATGACTCGTGATCAAACCTGGAAGGCAAGCAGGTACCTTAGGTAAGGTAGGCTGGAGGAGGAATACCTTAAAGAACTTGGATAAGAGCAATGGAAACACCGAGGGGAGGAAAAGGCTGCTTGGGATGGGGTGGGATAAGGCTGGCGGGTTGGTGTCGATACTCAGGGGGCACCTTATGCGGACAGATGAACATATCTTCCTACCGTCCCTGCTGCTGCCAGGAGTTGCATGTCACAGTTTCACAGTTCACACTCAACAGTCCTTTTGTTTACATTTTCTCAGGGGCCAACCCTAACCCTCACTCCTGTTCCTCTTTGGTCTCGAAACACCTTGGTCTCGAAACAACTGCGCCGAAGGGACGCTACAGTTGTCATGCCTCTCTGCCGCCCAACATATCCGTCTGTTCTCTTTGGATTCTAATTGTATTTGGCAAAACTAGTTGCAGAAGGGGTAAAAACGAAAACGAACCTCTTCCCGACCGGAAAACTGTGAAAACTGGTTCGTGAGCGACGAGCGTTTGCCTCCTGTTGCAGGATGGTGGGGTTTGATTAGCTCGTATGCTAACTTCTATACTACGGAAGAGGGTTTTTTTTTGTTAGGGATGTGAGGTACCTGGTGTAGAGGTGAGTCGCCGGTTGATGGGATGAGGCATGGTTGCGATGGTGGTTGCGATGGTGGTTGCGATGGTGGTTGTGATGGTGATATGCAAAGGTGTGTCTGGCTCGGTGTGGGAGGATGGATAGTCTGCGATGGTCCGGGATAGTCTGAGATGGGGTATGGCTCCCATATCTGATGATTGGGAGGATGGCATGTTTGAAAATGATCGATAGGAACCAGATGAAACATTCACTCAGTCTCATGGGCTATTGGGGGTTCCCGTTGTCCGTCAGGGCTGGGCGTAAAGTGGAGAAGTAAAATCGAGACGATTTATTGATGGCATGTTGTTGTTGATGTATTATAAGCTCTATCGTGAGCCGCTGCTATGTTCCTCCTCTCCCACTGCTCAACGACTGTGAAAAACAACGCTCCTCGGCCACCAACATATATCGACAACGATACAAGAAGTAAAGCGCAAAGTCCAATAGCCCTGTGATAATATCCTAGACTTCATGGTCCAGCACCAGGAGACACCGACCCATTTCCCGCCTTTCCGAAATGTTTCTGTGTCTAAACTCAAACTGCCACTCCATCCAGCACGTCCAAGAACATCTCGAAGCCACTCTTACCCCAAGAGTCATCTACGGCGAGGACAACATTTCTCCACCAACTCCCCTCATTGGCATCGCAGTTGAACTCGCGTTCGTTCAGGACCTCCAACCAGCACCAGGCTATGTCCTCGGCCGGTGTTTTCTATGGTCGGGCGGGATTGACGAGGACTCCGAGCAGCAGATTGGGATGCGCGTACGTTGCCGCAATTCGAAGCGAGACCCGCATGCGGGCCTGGAGCAGATTGCGGTAGTCGTCGTTCGGAAAGCGCTCGAGCGGTATTAGGTATGGCCTTTTGTAGGCGAAGTTGGCGTTGGGCAGTGGGGTTGTCATGGTGATTGCCGAGCACATGCCATGAATCTCGCTATAGGTTGGAACCGGGTTGTCGGCCGAGACACCTTCCATACCATGGTCAAGTATCAGGACGTCGGGGTGATATAGTACTTCGTTGTCAGGGGAGGCGTCCGGGGGAGGTTCCGAGTAGTGTGGCACACGGCCTCGGGAGCTGAGTGAGAGACTAGTTCGGACGAGGAGCGACTCCCTCTGGAGGGAGGAGACGTGAAGGCAGTCGGGTTTGGTGCCGTTACTGTCATTGTGGTCGTGTTCGCTGTCGATGGTGTCGAGAATAATCATGAGTGGCGGCATTGAGTTGTGTTGAGAGTTCTCTTCCCGTTGGTCGTGTTGGCAGAGTCCCTGACAGGCCTGCGGCGAGGCCCAATGTTCCTAGTCTGCAGCGACGTCGACAATATCCGCGTTGACGACCTTTATGGATATCTCCTGATCGCAGCAAGGACAGTTCTCATGCCGCGGGCAGTTGTCATAACTCAGGTACGGCGAGGGTCGGATGAGGTCCGAGTTCCAGATGAAAGATTTGTCGAAGCTGTCCAAAATGACGCCGCAGTTACTGTGCGAGATGGCTTGCTCGAAGAAGCCTGGAAGAACGCTTTCGTTGTGCTTGATGAGCGCTATATTCTCGTCCTTCATGAATTGGCATTTCGGAGCTTCACTGAGCTTGCTGTTGGGCTGCTCCGGTATAACGTCGTTATTAGGTTGCTCTGGTATAGCGTCGTTGTTAGGTTGCTCCGGTATGGCGTTGCTATTGAGTTGCTCCGGTATAGTGTCGCTATTAGGTTGTTCCTGTATAGCGTTGTTATTGGGTTGCTCCGGTATGGCGTTGTTATCTGACTGATCCTGGTGAGCGGCAGCCACGGATGGAATTGGTAGGCAACAAAGCAGTGGCTGGACCTTGGACAACCGGGCGAACTAGGCCGGCGGCATGATCGATACTGTTGGGATATACGAAGACGATTGTTGATAGATGTGTCAAATATGCAAAAACGAACAATGTCGCAGTCGATTCCTGTCCGTCTCGTTTGGTGGATGAGCGTGAGTTGGAGATGGATAAAGCTGGAAGTGGGTGTTTATTGTTGTAATTGGAAGAACCGAGGAAGTTCAGCTGCTCGGCTGGAAAGATAGGAAGGCACAGGTCCTCCTAGGAGGTCACTGGTACGTCACCGACGACATTTGAGGTGGAAGGTAAGACCTGGGCGCCTTGCACAGGGGATACCGAAGAAGTGGAAGACGGACGAGCCGCAACGAAGTAAAATAGAGTGACGGGCAATCGACACGATCATTAATGTAGCATCTCGGATTCTCATGGATGACAGTCAATTTTCGCTAGCTTTCCTATCTCGCTGACTGCTGTCTCGCTGACTATTAGCAAACTGGTATCCAGCACCTCATCGCTGTATGGATATCCAGGACGTCATTTCCTCATCCCATCCATCTTGACATCTATCACCTGAATCCTCCATTGAACACAGACGTGATCGCGATGAATGAGATATCGATGATCGAGAACCATCACCTCGAGTACCCCTCAAGTCACGCCCATCTATACGACATCCATCAATCGACTCCTCATGCCACGTCGAACCGTACATCACTCGCATCACAGCACACCCACCCCTCACCAAAACTGGCTGGGCGGCTTGTGGCTCGGAATCGGACCGCGCGAGGCATCAGAGCCGGTGCTAGAAGGCTGCTGATGTCCTTGCTGCCGGTTGGCGGAAGCATCCCTCTGTCCGGCGACAGAGAATCCTCCTGCTCCTCCTCCTGCTCCTCTACCCGCTCCTCCTCCTCCTCCTCCTCCTCCTCCTCCTCCTCCTCCTCCTCCTCCTCCTCCTCCTCCTCCTCCTCCTCCTCCTCCTCCTCCTCCTCCTCCTCCTCCTCCTCCTCCTCCTCCTCCTCCTCCTCCTCCAGCATTGGGGGTGGTTACACCAGCCGAAGCAGGTGCAAAAGCCCTGATGACGTTCTGATCATTGCGGCTGGGCGTGGCAGGCGTTGCATTCTGTGCGTTCCGTCCGGGGACAGCAGCAGCAGCGGCGGCAGCGGCAGAGAAAGGGACAGCAGGAATAGCAGCAGCACCACGGCGTACAGGCGGAGTGGTCTTCACCGGAGTTGCGGCGTACCCATACTTAGGATCCCGATGGGCGACAGTGCCAGGCGGAAAGATCGGCAGGAGATCTGTGGCGGGAGTGGCGATGGGGATGCGGCCGCGGGAGGTAACGGAGCTGGTCCGGGAGGTGTGGGTGGCTGCAGGCGAGTCATTGCGTCGGACAAGAGCGAGCATTGGGCTCTCGTGAGTGACGTAGTTGGCTCCTGGGACCTCCCTGGCGTTCGACTGGGGGAGATTTTGCTCCAGCTTACGCTGGTGGTTGTTGTTATGTGCGCCAATAGAGCCCATCAGCTGCACCATGCGCAGGACCGGCTTGACGATGTCAGCCACGACGCCGAGGTCGGCCAGACGGTTGAAGTTCCAGGGAGCCTTCTCGCCCAGAGCCATGGTCGCGTTGGCCGCCATCTCCTTCTCGGCTACGACGGAGCGGACGCATGCCTCGTACCAGAATGTGGGCATGCCGCGTTCCTCTGACGCGCGAACGTCTGCGGGCGAACGCTTAGGCTCGACATTGTAGAACAGCCATTGGTCGGGGCTGGAAGGACCAGCGATGCCGGGTACCGGACCGCAAAGGTTGAAGACCGTGTCTTCCACTTCGGTGATGTCGAGGTAGGTCATCTCGTCGGCGCTTATGAAGCGGTAGGTGGTGTGGATACGCATCGACTCGACAGAGATGCCGAAGCCCTTGTGGACTCCGATCTGAATCTGAGGATGGTCGTTGTGGTGCAGGCTGACAGTGAAGGAGTCGACGAAAGACCGAGCGAACTCTCCGTACTTGGCCTCCAGAAAGTGACTGTCGACATGTGACATGACGATACGAGCATCCCAGCTGCGCAGGGTGCAATGGATCCAGATTGGGGACTTGTCGTCGTGCTTCGTGTGGAAGGAGTAGTTGAACTTGAGGTTCTTGCCGTTGGGCTTGAGGTCCAAGAAGAAGGCGTGACCCTTTGAGACGCAGTAGAAGGAGTACATAACGCCTTCTGTCGTGGTGCCTTTCCATAGTTCCTTCCCGGTTGCAATGTCGACCGTAGCACGCATATGGTTGATGTCATCTTCCTCTTGAGTGAGAATTTTGGTGAACGTGACGGTGTGGCCATCAGCTGTGCGGGATCCCTTGTTCAGTAACTCGACGATCTGATGAAACTTCCAGCCATTGCTCTCAGATCCCGGTGCGTTGA